ATTACCGACAAAGTCTGAAACTGAACTAAGGGCCAAATTCAGTCCTTGGGTGAGATATTTCTTGCCTCAGGTCTTCCACAGAAGAACTCAATGAGAAATAACAGCATCTGGATAAATATAAAATATAAATATAAAATATAAAATAATATTGTTAACTTATGTTAACTGAGAACCAACAATGTGTCAAGTACTGTCTAGATCCTTTAAATATTCTTCATTATTATTTTATCACTCTATCAGTCTTTGTGGTGAGAGGTTAGGTTAAGCTTAACAACTACCAACTACCAAGGACAATTGAGGTCATTGTTGCTCCAAAGCTTGTATGGTCCCCACTATTAATCATCAAGGCTATAGGAAATCAACCAGGAAATGTGAGCTTTTCTCCTTAGCAAAGTTGGTAAGATTAGTTACAGTTAATATATCTCTGCACCGGCAGACCCATCTTCCAAGGGTAGACATGAGACAGATGGGGAGACCTTAATGTTTTTCTCGTATAATTCAGGTTTGCTTTTAGCATGCTATTAAGAATTAATTAAGAATTGATGCACTCCCCATTTGTCTGCTCTGAGAAAAAATATAAATGGTTTCTTGGAATTATGTAGATCTGAAGTGCTTGAAAAGTGAGTCTCATTTTGATTGAACTAACTAGAGATGTTCTCTGAAAGGATTAACTCAATCATATATCAAACATTTAGAACAAACAAGAATAAGCTTTTCCTTCCTGCCTTCAGTTATTTATTCATATTCATTTATTCAACAAATATTTACTGAATACCTACTATGTGTGTGTAAGGCTAAGTGCTCCTTTACCTTAAAATCTGGCAGCAAACATATGACATGGGGAGCTGCAAGGTTCCAGCATGGAGGGGTATGAGATGTGTTCATCCAGAAAAGAGGATCTGAGAGTTCTGACCAGAGTGACGTGAAGAGGCTTTCTGGGAGAGCTGGCATGTGCTCAGGTCCTTGGAGGAAGGGGGGACAGTGACAGGTAAAGATGGCAAAGGGAGCCGCAAGATCCACGCAGAGGAGGCGTCCTGTGCAGAGGCATAGCAGAGATCCAGGAGTAGTGAGTGGTGTAGCGAAAGCTATGGCAAAAAAGATAGATGGGGTTAGACTGTGAAGGGCTTTGAGTATTATGCCAAAGGGTTTAAACCTTACTCACATGTAGGCCTTGGTTCTCAAAGTGAGATCTCCAGTCCAATAGCATCAGCATCGCTTCAGGCTCTACCCCAGACTTATCGCATCAGAATCTCTGAGAGGTGGGGCTTAGCATCTGCAGTTTAACAGACCCTCCAAGTGATGTTGATGCCTGCTACAGGTTGAGAACCAGTGCTGTAGTCAGCCTTGCTAAACTGCTCTGTGGGCCGTGAATGGGGGACAGGGGTACTGGAAGTCATCATCTCCCTTATCCTCAGGGTAGCTACACAGGCCCTGGGGAAACTAGAGCTCCTAGCGATGACGGCCACTTGCACTAGCAACCTCTCTCTTTCATGCTAGGGTACAAACTCCTTGATCTGAAAAGGAAGCAGGTGTTGGCCCAGGGGCCAAATCTGCCAGATGACCTGTTTTTGTGTGCCACTCCCGTCCCCCAAGTTAAGAATGGCTTTTACATTGTTTTTATGTTTGGCTTTTACATTTTTAAAGAGTTGTAAAAAAAAAAAAAAGAAAAGGAAGAGAAGAAAGAAGAAGAAAATGAAGAGGAAGAAGGAGGTGGATGAAAAGGAGAGGAGAGAGTGTGATGGAATGTGGCCTGCAAAACCTAAAATATCTACTTCCTGATTCTTTATAGAAAAGGTTTACTGACCCCTGGTGTAGACAGGGAGAAACTGTTTTTGAGAAGAAGAGTGATAGGTCCAAAGAATGAATTAAGGATATTTAATATAATAACAGTATGCAGAAAAGAAAAATTGAAAAGAGCTAGAAGCAGGGAAGCCAAATGTGGAACAAGTGAGATCGTAAAGATCTAAACCATGCAATGCTGTTTGAGCAGAAAAAAGGAAATGGGTCTTTAATACTTATAGAAACAATATAACTTAACTTTCAGTTGACCCAAGTGCTATGCCATAGCAAGGTTCTCAACAACTGGAGAAATCACAGACTGTGTCCAGTTCAGCCATTTCTTGGGGTTTGGTTTGGTTTAGTTTTGAGGGAGTAGGACAGTGTTGAGAGCATGAACTCTGGAGCTCTTGTCTAGTGTAGAGGAAAAAAACTAATCTCTAAGTGCTTAGTGGGTGTTTCAGATTATCTCCATAATATTTCATTATTGCATAGAACAGTGATATGTATAGAAATCCACCAGTTATCTTCTTAAAAGGCCAACTCCAGTTCAAAATTCTGGAGGGCGCCTGAGATTCTTCATTTCTAAGATGTTCCCAAGTAGGGACCACACTTTCAGTAGCAAAGTTCTAGACTGAACACCAGTGGTTATTTGAAAAGCAAACTTTTAAGGTCACATATTAAGCCTGGGAAATAATTCCTTCATCCACAGAAATCAAAGGCACCTTTTCTGCTGTAACACATGATTTAATTGGTCACCAAAGCACAACTGCCCCTGCAGTTGGTCACTGGAAATTCTGTCCTCTCAGAGTGGTAGTTTTTAGGGACAAGTGCCTGGATAGAGAATAAAGCATAGGATGGAATAAAGGTTAGAAAAGGAAGATAATGGATACAGTGGGTGGAGAAGACAGGACCGATCCTCCCATAGTGGCCAGGGACAGTCCATCTAGTGGTTTGGGGAGCCACACTCTGACTTCGAATCCAGGGTCCTCAACTTAATAGCGGTGTGATCTTACACAAATTATTTACCTTCTTCTGCCATGGTTTCTCATCCATAGATGGGGATAACAAATCCTCAAAGAGCAGTTAGTTACAGGTAGTAAAAGAGATAATGTCAGAAAATAATGTAATGCAGTAGTAAGACTGTAATAAGAACTAAATAATTGAATCTTTAATTATCAGAGATAAAAAGGTATCAGCTTGAGATGCAAAGGAAGCTCTCCAACCATCACAACTGGTAAGGAAATAACCTAGAAATTTATTAATGTTACTAAAGGACAAATAGCCCCCAAAAGAGCTTTAAATATACATGTTGGCCCATACATGGGATTTGTATCTTAAGTATTTGGAATTCCCTCCAAAGAAATTGCATGTATGTAACGTGGGACATCATTAGGTGTTTGTTTTTTGACTCTAAAATGTATGTTTTCATTGTAGTTTAAGGCTTGTACTAAAGGATGGATAAACTTTGTGATATTTAGGAAAGCAATTAAACAGAAGATACAAGGCTTAATGTAGCTTCCAAAGGAAATATGTGTTTTATATCTACATTAAACAAAATTAAATTATTTTCAAAATTAAAATATGGCTTTTGAAAGCTTTTTGATATTAGGTGAAAACTTATTATGGAATCACATTTAAAGTAAAAAGTTCAGTTACGTGTCATGTATCTGCTGACTAGATAAATTTTTACATTTTCATCAGATGCTTTAGCATCACAGAGACACAGCCTGAGAGGTGACACATATTGTGCCGATTACTCTTAATTCAGTTAATTAAAACTCTCTAGGTCTTCACCTTGACTTGACACTCTTTGCTTCTTTATTATTCTCTGGTATTACCTTATTCACATTGTCCTTCTTCACAGAGCTGTCCTTTCCACTGTGCTTCTGTCCCATCCTACACAGATGTAGTAGAAAGAAAAAGAGGTCTTTGGTGTCAGCGTTCTAGGACCAATTCCAGTCTGGAATCTGCTGCTTGAGACCCACATGGCTTTAGACAAGGCTCTTTCTCTGAGACTTCGTTTCCTTACTCATATTGACACCACTTTGCTGGATTATTGAGGATTAGGGATAATAATTGTTAAGTGTTTACCTGGAGCCTGTACATAGAAAATAGGCAATGAATATGAGCTTTTGTTTATTATTTGTTACTGAAACATCAACTCATGTGCCATCCATTCCAAGAAGTCTTCTTGGAAGCCCTGAAGATGGAGGCAGGTTTTACCTCCTTTGATACCCGGAGGTGCAGTTTACTTGCACCTGGTTACTTTCATATGTGGCATTTTAGTTATTCATGTGTATAGATTATCTCCTTTATAAAATAGGAAATTTCTAGAGGAAAGATTCAGGTTTCCAGAATCCTATATGTGCCATGCATCTAGCCAGGAGTATGCAAATAATAGGTGCAATAATAAATGCTCAGTGAACATTTCTTTCATAGAGCAAAAATCACTTTCTGATTGAACTCATATCAACTTTCAAGATGGTGTACTTCTGGTTTTCCCTGATTTTGCCAACTTTTCAATGCCCCACCAAATTGAATTACATCAGGCACCAAATGGTTCATGATATTTTCCCTCAAGTATGATTTATTTAACAATCATATACAATAGGAAATACAGAGAATTACAGCAGAATAAAAACACAAGAATTGTAGCTTGTCATGTTAAAAATTAAATAAAAGAGATACCAGCTAAATAAAGAGGCATATGAAATTGTTAGATATATGTTGAGTAGCTGAGGATGCAAATGCAAAGCAGGCCATTTAAGGCTCAGCAGCCGAATTCATCCATCCCTCTCTTTAGGATGGATTCAACATTGATGTCAGCAGAAGGGATGGGCACTGGTACCCTCTGCTCTGACTTCCCGCTAATTAACATGAGTTACTGCGTGTCTTAGAGAGAGAGAGGAAGGAAGGAATAAGGAAGATACAAAGGAGAGCAGGAGAGAAGGGAGGGGAAGGAGCAAAAGAGGGAGTGAGGGAGGGAGATTAGGGAAAAAAAAGTGCATCAATAGCGTGACAACTCTTCTGAAGAGATGGAGCGAGTTTTCTCCACTCCCCTGGAAGTTCCGTCACAGCGCTTTATAAATTACATAACCTGGAAAATTAGGTTAAACCCCATATACAGAAAATAATGACTTAATTATATTCCTCTATTTTTTTTAGTAATAGTCTATATATCTTAAAGTATTAATAGGAACAAAGTGGACATGTTTCTTATGACAATTAAGAAGCAGTGTTTCAATTTATTTCTCTGTTGAGAGACTCTATAGCTTTACTGAGAGACACCTGGCTCAAATAGGAACAATAGTAATTAGACTTCCCTGACAGTCATATTCTAATCTTAAATGCAGAATATTTTCTAGCTTGTAAATAGCTACCTTAAAAAAAGACATTAAAAGCAGTAGTTGCAGTTTCTCCATAAATAGAAATAAGAAATCCATTGTAGGACAAAAAGTCACCATGATGTACGTATCTATAAATTTCCCCCAACACATCATTATAGATCAATCTTTACTGCTTACATTTAAAATATCAATTGCATTATAATGTCTATGATACAATTCAATTATTTAGCTGTGTTCTACATATACTTCAGGTGAAACAAAATCTAAGGAACTTATTCACAGTACATTTAAAAGCATCTTATACACAGTCTATGCACAAATATATCTTAAATTAAAATGCATACCTAATATGCATATAGAATATGGCTTACACATGAAAAGAGATCTAAGTTGTGAGTTATAAAATCCCACTACTTAGACTTAAAAGCTTGTGATTACATCCATTTCTAAAATATTGCTTAGCATTGTGGAACCCAGGGAAGAAGCATGTGCAACAGAAAACTCATTAGGATGGACAACCCACCTTAACTTTATTCTTTAATTGATGGCTACTCTTAATTTTTTCCACCCAATTCTACCATTCACAAAGACAAATTCGCTTAGTCTCACAATCATTGAAGAGTTTGTACAGTGAAAAGTTACAACACCTACTTGTGCTTGACCTTTCTTGTCAGCTAATAACAAATAAATGTAGCTCTTCAGTTTGGAGCAAAGGCAAGGCTCTGCACATGCTCAGGCAAAACATGACAAGGAAGCAGAGTCTCCAAGGGTTGCAGTTTGTTTCTGTGTGGTAAAATTATAAACTCATGTCAAATAACATTATCTGTACAGAAAAGTGTGGGATTCCATTTTCATAGACATTTTTGAATACACACACAGACATGCACACACACATACTTCTTGTCACTTATCCCTTGGCCTGTGATATATTTTGTTACATCCTGATGGGATCAACACCCCAGAAGGCAAATTCCATTCTCAGTTCTAGTGTCTGTCTCCAACAATGGCTGGAGGTTCTTGTCATCTTGGATCGTAGGTAATGTGTGACTTGCATTGTGATGACGCCCATGTAGGTGATGCATTAGTGCTTTGAAATCACAGGGATGGATGCAGGCTGGTCCACTGCTTTCAGGGGCAGGTTTCACTGTGGTTTCCCAGCTTGAGAGTTACAATGATGAGTTCATCAGGTCACAGAGCCAGGGCTCTGATGATCCATTGTTGTTATAGGACTTCAACCACAGCTTCTGAGCAGCCCCAGCTCTCACTTTGTTCCCATGTATTTAAAATAACAAGGACAATCTAAATAGCCTCAGAGCTGCAAAAAATAGTTTTCTATAATTTTGTTTTTGCTTTCCTTTTACTTAACATCTTGAAAAATTTACTGTAGTTGCAGCACTCTGTATAAAACAAAGCAAGAAAGTAAAATTTTAAAATGCCTCATCTTCTGCACACATATTGCACAGTTGCCTATGCAGTAACTGGGTTCAAACTGATGAAAAATTAAAACTGTCCAACTTTTGTCTTAAAAATTTCTCTGACTTGATTGAAGAAGGCCAAATTGTGGAGGAAGAGCAATGGCAGAAGCACTGGCCAAAATCTCTGGTAGCAACTTTGAGTGTATTTATTTGGCTAGAATTACTAGTTCAGAATTTATGTTCTTCTCTTATATGAGTCCATAAAATGGCCTGTTTCCAAGTGTGTGTTGAAAGAGGAGAATATAGGTTTGTGGAAAATTGAGGATTTAGGATATTTTAGTGCTGTTCTCATTATCCTGAAATAAAATCCAAATGAAAATGAAGATCATGTTTTAGTCATATATAGGCATAAATCACTGAATGGCAGTTTCATGTTGGACTTCATATAGCTTATAAAAATAAGGGATTTATCAGTAGATAATAGATATTCTTTAAATCAGTTGGAATTCTTCCTGTCTCTTCTGTGTGTGCGTGCATGCGTGCATGTGTGTATTTATGTATCTTTAGAGTTTGGATGGAGGGTACGCAGAAAAATTGCTGTAGCTAATATGAGACAATATCTTTAAATTGTTTAATACAGAGCTGGTTTTTAAAATTTCCATCAACTTTGTGGCTTGATTTCTATTTACAATTCCTATGTAAAATAGTAATCACAGTCACTAACTCTGGAATTGTTGATAGGACTAAATGAGATAATACATATGAGATGTTCATTACAGTGCCTGACACTGATAGTTGCTATTAATGAAACTATTATTATTAATTAAAGAGTCTTACAACTAACTCAAGAATACTGAGAAATGAATCATCTTAAAAGCTAATCACATTTTAACTGTGTCATATCTAAAACAACATTTAAGGAGCTACTGATAGTATATCAAAGGCTTGACGTGGTACCTGCAGCATTTTCTCTTGTCCCTACCATCAAGGTACAAGATAGCAGGACTCATTTTTATATTTTTTTTAAGGAGATACTAAGAGATTTCTACTATAAGAAACACATTCCTCCCTTCTAACTCCCTTCTAACTGCCTGCACCTTCTCTGTTGGTCCAAGACAGTGGTTCTCAAATTTAGTGTACAGAAATAGCAGTAGACTGAATTATTAAAAATTCAGATTCCTAAGGCATCACTCCCAGAGTTGGTAATTTGGTAGATCAAAGGTGAGCCCTAGAAGCTGATTTTTTTTAAAACATCTTTATTGGAGTATAATTGCTTTACAGCGGTTTATTAGCTTCTGCTGTATAACAAAGTGAATCAGCTATACATATACATATATCCCCATATCTCCTCCCTCTTGGGTCTCCCTCCCATCCTCCCTATCCCATCCCTTTGGGTGGACACAAAGCACCGAGCTGATCTCCCTGTGCTATGCAGCTGCTTCCCACTAGCTATCTATTATACATTTGGTAGTGTATATATGTCTGTGCCTCTCACTTCATCCCAGCTTACCCTTCCCCCTCCCCGTGTCCTCAAGTCCATTCTCTACATCTGCGTCTTTATTCCTGTCCTGCCCCTAGGTTCTTCAGAACAATTTTTTTTTTTTAAGATTCCATATATATGTGTTAGCATACGGTATTTGTTTTTCTCTTTCTGACTTACTTCACTCTGTATGACAGTCTCTAGGTCCATCCACCTCACTACAAATAACTCAATTTCGTTTCTTTTTATGGCTGAGTAATATTCCATTGTATATATGTGCCACATCTTCTTTATCCATTCATCTGTTGATGGACACTTAGGTTGTAGAAGCTGAATTTTTAAAAAGGGAATCATTGATGCAAATGTCCACGGATTTTAGCAAATATTGATGTTGTTTCATAATATGTACTTGCTTTGTTATTATCACTCAGTGTAAACATTCATATTTCCTACATGATGTAGAAAAGGAAATTGGTATAAAACATTCATATTTCTTTTATGGAATAGTGGAAGAAACCAGGATTAAACCTCCCCATAGGATATAGCTTATTATTTTTAAAGGACTAAAAGGCCTCAGTAAATATAATTTTTATGGATGAATAAGTCAAGAATCCTTTGAAAAGGTAAATTTAAAAGTTAAATATTTAAAGCTTACCTGTTAATGTTTTGCTCCAGAAAATAGAGATTTAAAAGAAGAATCCAGGAGGGCATTTAAGTAAGATAACTTTGTTTCTAATGATATTTTACAAACCATCCACTTCAGAAATAAATTTCTCATCTAAAAAATAAAATTACCTCTCATGTTTAAAATGACAGAAGCCTTTAAGGTGTTTCAAACCTATGAATGTGTCTCAGCATGTTTTTCTTCGGCACTTACTAGATCTTCTGAATTCTTGTGAAGATCAGGCTCACCTAAAAAATAAGCAAACAAATAACAAATAAAAACAAAATAGTCTGAGGGAAAAAACCTAATAAGGTCAGGAAACTAAAGCAATTAGGAAAATGTTGAAGACTGGATTTTACAATGGATCTGTGGCACATTTCTCCAAAGATACCAAACATTTTCTTTTCAGCTTGTGGATTTATAGAGTATAACAAATCATCTTCTGGTGGTTATACAAATTTGTAAAGTTGCAATTTAATCTGGGAATACAGAAATGAAACAGATGAAACATGTTTAAATATGCATTAAATCAAACATAAAAATTATGCATATTTTCCCCAAATATTTTTAATTGAAACAAATTCTTTTAAACAAACCCTCTGATGTTCAGTGTCTTTTATCACACATTGCTTAGTTGCTATGAATTTAAAACAAATGAGTACAAGAGAATGTAATGTTTAAGATAAGACATCATCTGCCAAAACAAACTATTGGAATTTATAATCTTAGAATCACTCAGCTTCTATATAAACCTTGAAAAAAATTAGTATGGAAAATGTTCCAACATTTCTAGAGAGGTTGCAGAGAATCTATCAAAAATAGAAACGTAAAGCAAAATGTACAGATAAAAGAGTCTTATTATATAAGAAAGTTAAAAAATGAGCAGAAATTAATTTTTGAGTCAATTATGATGCCTATATATGACTATATGACTTGATATTTCAGAAAACAGTCATATATGATAGAATGTTCTCTCCATCTGATTTGATTGAAAATATACTAACAATTAAACGTTGCACCAATTGATTTTGAGATCATTTCTCCAACAATTATATAATTATAAAATTAGTGAACATATAGAACTTAGGGAGTATTATCACAAAGCAAAATTATTTTGTCCTTTACTTTCTCTTTAAAATTTATTCAGTGGGAGAAACTTATCTTCTGTCCCAAGTTCAATCTTTCAGAGAGGATCAGGACTTTTCCAGTCATTCTTAGTTAATAAAAACATAGTGTGATAACATTAAAATGCCAGTGTCTTAGGTCTGGTCACATATAATACACATCAATCTTAAAACAAAGATAAAACTTCTTCCCAACCTTGGGTTTGTTGCAGAGCTTAGAAAGGGTGGTGATGGGGGGAGAGCATGATTGATGTTTCTTTCATTTCTTCTTTGCCCTCCCTCAGCTGGCTACCTTGGACTCCTGAGCTGGAGCAAGGGAGAGAAGAAGGCTAAGAAGAGCAGCAAAGTTCCTCTATGACTAGTACTACTGTAGGATGGCTTTGCACTCACTGGGCCAGGCAGGTGTTTAGAGCTGACTCTATTCTGTGAGCACATTCATGGGCTCTCCAGGGACCTCTTGCCAAGACCATGGCTGGAGACTTAGCACAACCTTGGTATGGACATATGAAACTCTGGTTCCTTTACAATGTCCACAGCCCCTGGAAATTTGTTGGTACATCTCCAGGTTCTGTCTCCTGAGGTCCAATCATGCTCACAAATATAGGTAGGTTACATTTGGTTCACATGGAACATTCACTAGGCCTTTATTCCTATAAATTACTTGAGAAAAGGCTGAAACCTATACAGCTTCCTCTCCTTCAGCTTATCTGTCACCTTCTAACCTTTTAGACCTCTCACGTTGGAACTAGATTCCATTCCCAATATCCCCCTAACTTCAAGCTCTCCAAGGGTGAAGCTATCTTCCTTTGATCTGAGGTGAAGAGGGAAGCATTTCTACATCTTTCCCAATAGCAGAGAACTCATTAAAGAAATCTTCCTCACAAATCCTATTCTAACCATCAACAACCTGGCCCTTTCAATTGTTTGAACTGGGTGAAGGTTATAAGCATCCTATTATTGACTTTTGGATCTTCTGTGAAATTTCTGCTTCCCAGGTCAATTTGTTTCTGACATTTCTGACATCTAGTCTTGGCTTATACTTCTGATTTAATATCGTGTTACTTATGACTAGATTATAACAGAACAAAATAGACTAGAATAGAACAGAATGGAACAGAGTGGAAAAAATAGATTGAATTAAAAAGAAAGGGATATAAGTAATTAACTAATTGTTTCTCAAAATTTTTGAGAATCTTTTACAATGGACAAAGGACACTGAGCTTTACCAATAATCGAATGCTCTTACTTCTAGTGGATAAAGAACTCACCAATAACAAAACAGTGGAAGAGGAGCAAATTGGCAAATGGTTAAAATGCAGCAATTACAAAAAAAAAAAAATCCCTAAATGTTACGTAGACTACATCCAGGAGTAATTCCATACATGCAACTAGAAAAGTAGCAATTTAAAACTATGACCAATTCAAGACAATATTTTTGAAGCACTGGAAAAAAAAAATATTCCTTGAAACTGTAAAATTCCAGGTGTTTTCAGGGGCAGGTGTACAACATTGCCAATCAATCGCATGGCAGCCAGAATGCTTAGGAAAATACTGAATTAGCAAATTCAAATTCAAATCACATTACTTTTAGTTAATAAATCTTTAGTTGTAGAAGCCTTTACAACTAACTTGGATTATTGGAAGTAACCCTTAGGCTTTCATAAAAAAGGGTTACTTGGAAGGGTTACTTGAAAGTAACGCTTAGGCTTTCATAAAAAAAGAAAGCCATGTCATTCTGATATATCATTCTGACAGAAAAGAAGAACTGATTTGCATTTTTCAATTCATTACAGATCATCTTAGATAATCTTCATGACCCAAGAGTGATCTGTGTAAAAGACCTTCTTGAGAAGCATCCCTATAATCCAAGGTTCCAAACATTTTTGAATCAGAGTCCCCTCTTTTAGTTTGATGAAACGTATGACCTCCTTAAAGTAAAATTCATAAATAAATGAAATGAAATACATGGGATTACAAGGGACTTCATTTTTATTAAAATACAATTATCAACATCTTTAAGTAATACTTAACATGTGATACAGTAATATATGTGCTTCTTTACCAATGAGTTAAATAACAAGGTCTAGCTGCAGGTCTATCAGCTGAGTAATTCTGAAACAATAATATCAAATAACACTTCAAGGTACCCCATGAATTTAAATATGTTATGAAAATATTGATGATTTCTATTGGTGACAAACACAAATACCCCAAATGTTACTCTGTGTATTTTTTGCCTGCAAACGAAGGAAATCCTAAATTTTAGTTAAAGGTTAGTAGAAATATCACTCTCCAAGTGTACAGGCTCTATCTATATAACCTGGGTTAAAATCTTTGATCTAGTCTAACTTTATTTTACGGGTAATAAACAGGCCCAGAATAATCAAGTGATTTCCTTCAGTGTAGATCACAAATAGATACCCTGAAGTAAAAATTATTGGCTTTTAAGTCACTATTATGTCAACAAGACCCATAAAGTGACCTAGGAATTTCATTTTACTGAAGAGATTTGCAAGGTCCCATACATAGGAAGCTACACCTTAGGAATGAATTCAATGGGTTTGTTCAAAGCATGTGCATAGAAGCTTGGCTGATAGCCAGGAAAAAGGCAGTGAAAGTAAGGAAACTTGGATAATTCTGTTCATCTCAAAGAGCTTTTAGGTGTTCATCTAAATATTGAAATTTGAAAAAAGTAATTTGTAAAATGATGGAAATATGGTTTTTGCTTTATAAACACAGTGTAAAATCAGAGGGGTGCAAGGAAGGGACAGAGGTCATAGGAGGGACAGATCTACGCAAATAAACAGAAATCCTTTAAATTTAGCTAATCTAAATCTTAGCCTGCAATTTGAGCTCACTATTATTATATTAGAATCATAGTATGTTAGCTTTGTAGATGATATAAATAATACTTGCAGGGAATAATGTAAGGCACATGATCAGCTGGGTATTAGAGACTCCAGTTGTCCAGTTATGGTCTTGTTGAACTAGTATTTAAAAACTAATCTGCTAGGATAAATTATTATACAATTGAAAATATATCAGTAATAACACTTTATGAACAACTGCTAGGTGGCGGGCACTATTTTAAGTGCTTCACTTATCTTAATTACCTGAATCTTCACGGCAAAGTGTAGAAACTGATATGTAGGTTGAGTCATCTGACCAAGGTTTCAAGGCTGTCTAGTGGCTGAATCTCTCTGACAAAGTCCAATCAGTATCTTGCCTTCCATTTCCCGAACTACAATTATTTGCATACCACCTTTACCATTTCTGCCATATCTATAGTCCATTTATTCTATTAGTTACTAATATTTTTCTTCACACAGACTTTAGATCTATTCTCTTTTCAAAGATTAGTTTTGTCCTAAATAGTAATATCCAAGATATAACAGATTTGATGTGCTTGTTGTGTTTTCCTAACATGTAGAATTCATAATTAACAAAGATAATTTCTTCTAAAAACACAATAATTGATTTAATTTAATGGTTTATATTTGCCCTCATACATTTCTCACTTATCTGACCCAACAATCCCTGCATGGAGTAGTAAAACTATCACCATAATTTCCATTTTAGAAGTAAGGAATACATGGTCAGAAGGAATGACTGACTACTCCAAGGCACCATGGCCTGGGAGAGTGTGGGAGACAGACCCCCATATTATCCCTTAAAAAATACTCCAGTTAATTTTCCATATTTAGCAGAAGCAGCAAATAGTGTTTGAAAAATACTTGGCAAAAATTGGTTTGTGTAGTCCTTTCAGCAGAAATACTAGCTCTGAGTTACACTGCATTATCATTTCTTCATAAGAAAAACATTACCTTTGCTATGTATAGCAGTATTTCCTCATGCAGGCAGATCTGTCTAGGTTGATTCAGTTCTATTTGGGGTCCATTTATGTAGCTTATGTTGCCAATAACTAGAAAGAATTGATGATCTAGGATTGAAAGCTATAGAAACGTAATGTGGGATAAATCAGAGCTTCTGATTCTAAATGGTGTTTTGACATCTGTATAACGTGATTTGCCTTGTAGGTTGGGAATAAGAAATTTTCACATCAGGAGAAAATGCTCTTCATTTAAATGCTTCTGGAGAGGAAACTGTTGTATATTTTCTGCCTG